AATTCATTAGGGATAACGCTGTCATGTGCAATTTTACCTTTCCTAAAAATGTCAATCCAGTGATGCTAGTTGCTAATAAATGGGTTCAGAGCAGGGTTATGAGCAATTTACCTAAAATAAATAAAGCTGTATTATTCAAAAAAAGTAAAATCATAAACAATAAATGAAAAAAAAAACAAACTTACGCAATAGGAACTGAAAACACCGTACTCATATACAGCACATTCGCCCGAACTGGAGGCTCCGCCGCCTAATTCAAACAAAAAAATTCAAAAAAATCCCCAAAAATCACAAAAAAAAAAATCAACATAATTTAACCTACTCTAAGTTTAGGAACAACGGATCCATCCTTAATTTCAAAAAGATCCGACAACGAGAGAGACTGTGAGGTCTCTCCTCCTTTAAGAAACAAAGCTCCCTTCTCGTCAAGATCTCTCTCCATCTTATCATACAACTTTGCCCTTCGATCTGCGCTCAAGATCAAAGCAGATCCTGAGAGTAGAAGGACGTCAAGAGAGTGAGATCGGATCGCCGCCGATAAGGAGAGAGGAGGGAGGTTACCTGAATCGAGAGAGGGTGAGGAGTGATCCATGGTGATTCGAATTGTGAGGTAGACGAGGATCAGAGATGAGGTCCAGATTCCAATTGGAGTTCGATATTGGAACAAAGAGTTTCGTAATCTAGCCATTGATTTCTTCTGCTCAGAATTTGGATAGGATTTTAGTAATTTAGAAAAGGGTTAATTTCACTTAACTCCCCTAAATAATGGAGGGCGTCGCACAAAACCAACTGAACTTTATTTGTCTTACATAACTCGATGAACTTTGCGATGTCTCGCAAAATTTCTCTGAAATTTGAACTTTTCTTGCTGAACCCTCCTACGTGTAGTTTAAAAGTAATTTAAAGTTTCTTGAGAGAAAAAATTCCGAACTTTGTTATTTGTCATTTACAAAACTCAGTCAGTGTTGTGCTTTATTTTATTACCAGCACTGCATGTTCTAAGTACTAAGAGCAGCTCTAACCGTTCCTGAAATCTCCATTTTGGAGCCGCTCAAATCTCCAACCGAACTGCAAATTTTGCAGTTAGCTGCAAAATCCGGCCTTGAGGCTTCCAAATTTGCAGCCAACTCTATACTACTATTCCCAAAAAAAAATACCAAAGTTAACCCTCAATCTCTTTAACAACATTTCATTATTCCAATTGTATCCCATTATTATTTTTTATACTTACTTAAAATCTGTATATATATATATATTAATATATTAAATATTTTTTAATGAAAATAATATCATTGGAAATGTCTCGTCGATACCTTCAAAATGAGACTAATATCGAAATATAAAATTGCAAAACAAGTAATTAGAAATGATAATACATTGGAGCTTAAACTGAAATATTAAATGAGAGTAATATTAAATAATATTAATTGAAATATAAAATTCCAAGAATTAAAGAAAATTAATTCTATTTCTTATATCAATTCATTAAAGAAAATTAATTTTATTTAAATATATGATTACATTATATATTTTTAAAATAAGTAAAAGAATTAAAAAATTGAGAGAAATTGAAATGAAGTTGGAAATAGAGGAGTGTGGTTGGAGTTACATAACTCTATTTTAGCATATTCTAAGGAATATGCCAAAGTTTGGGATGCAAAATAGAGCCCCACGTTGGAGCTGCTCTAAGTAGTATAAAAGAGGAGGGTGGGATCCACATAAAAAATAAATCTTATAAAATATTCATTGGGCGTCCCCACCACGACGTGTTGCATCGACACCACCCCTGATGTAATAAGTAAGCAATGATGATTTGCTAGGGCGTCCCCCGGAAGCGACGCGTTACATCGATGTTATTCAGATATAATGACAAGTAAGCAAGGGTGTTTTAAGAATCTACAATCCTCTAACAAGTTGTCAAATAGTATTAGGCGTAGACTAGAACAGTATAAAAGGGGAAATAGTAAGAGATTTTTATAGAAGAATAGAATTAGGTTAGCTACTTGGAAGATATGTATACTTACCGGAAAGACGATAAAACTAGTAGATGTCATGCTTAGACAAAAGATAAGTTGTTTATAAGAAACTAAATGAATAGGTAAAAAATCTAGAGAAATTAAAAAGACCGGGTATAAATTTTGTATATGGAAAAAGAGAAGAATAAAAATCTAGAGAAATTAAAAACACTGAATATAAACTTTGGCACACGGGAAAAGAGAAGAACAGGAACGGAGTGGGAATCCTTGTAGATAACATAATAAAAGAAAGTGTTGTAGATGTACAAAGAGTTGGAGATAGAATAATACTAATAAAAGTTGTATTAGGTGTAGAGCTTGTTAATATTATTAGCGCTTATGCACCGCAAGTAGGCTTGCCCGAGAGTATTAAAATGAAATTTTAGGATAGCTTAGATGAATTGGTACAAGAAATCCCATTAAGAGAGAAAATTTTATAGGAGGGGATTTAAATGAGCATGTTGGTAAGAATAATAACAGATATGAGAGGATACATGAAAGTTTCAGGCATGAAGATAAGAACGACATGTGAGAATCGATTTTAGAGTTTGCAACATCATATGATTCAATAATAACAAGTATATTTTTTTAGAAAATGGGATGAACACTTAGGGGGGTTATTGGTTTGGACAAATTGGGGCCAAGGGGGAAAAGTGTTCCAATGGAACAATTTTACCCCTTTGGGATATTTTGAGTGGGGTAAAATGGGATAAAGTGTGATAATGGGATAATTTTAACATTTGATTTGACAATTCATATAGGATAATTGATGATGTGGCACATTATTAAAATATAATTTTATCTATTAATTACTTCTAAATTAACTTATCCAATTGGTTTAGTATATTATTATAATATAAATATTATTTTACTTTATATTAAAATATAATATATTGTACTATACTTACAAATTACTATTATTAATTATTATATTGTATTGTATTATATTATATTATATTAGCATGCTATACTATATATAATAATTAATATAATATAATATTAATATATTTAATATAATATTTTAATAATGTAATATTTAATATAATACATTATTTTATTTATACAAAAATATAATATGTTATACAATAATTATTAATTAACATTATATTAGTATGCTACATTATATAATAATTGATATAATATATGAATAATATATATAATATAATACTTTAATAATATATTATTTAATTTAATATATTATAATATAGTATCATAGGATATAATGTACTTTATAAAATATTATAATATTTTACTTTATTCAATGTAATATTTTTAAAATATTATATTAAAATTAAAATAATATATATATATATATATATTGTATATTATAGTATAACATTGGTAATTGCAATAATAGTATATTATATGTATCATGTTATATGTATAGATATATTATATTGTTTCAAACTATAGTATTGAGTATATCATTAATAGGTCATATATATTTTACTAATATTAGTATAATGTATTATATTAATATTATATAGTAGTGATGTCATGATATATAATGAACTATAATAAATTTTATAAAATTAATTATATAATAATATATTATATAATAATATATGTTATTAAAAATTTAGATATTATGTTATTAAAAATGTGTATACTGATATTATTAATAGAAGGTACGTGGTTATAATACTATATTATGAATTTAATCATTATACTAATAATATATCATAATATTATTAATATATGTTTATTAAAATATTAATATATGTTATTATATAATATTATTAATATATGTTATTAAATTATGTTATTAAAATATTAATATATTTTATATTTTATATATCATATCATATATTTATAATATAATTAGCATGTATTAGTTAAGTAATACAAAAATATTTTAAAGTTATCTCAATTATCTTCAAAGTGGAACAACATTGTTCCAATATGGAGGATGGGGTAAATTTGGGGTAATTATGAGGAAGGAGTGGAATGGATCTTTATATAGTTGGTGTAATTTAGGGGAAAGTGGAGTATTTGTCCCCCAATTACCCCAACAAACCAATAACACCACAAAATTAACTCCAATTCTAATTACCCTAATGAATAACACCAAAAAGTGATGATCCAAAAATAATCACATTATC